ATCTATTTCCCAAATATATATCATTATATAACATTTTAATGAACTGTACTACTACCTATAATACTAAATAAATTATGGAAAGAAATTACAAAGAAGTCATGTTCCATTTGCTACCCTAATTAAAACTCATTTTAGGTATGAACCTGGCCAGCAAGGGACTTATCTTATTCCAACAGTAATTTAGTTGGGAGTCTATACCTGCGCGATCGCTCGCCATCAGCAATGACGTGTACTGTAGACTACAAATGATTTACTTTCAGATAAAAAGTATTCAATAGAGAAACTAGCAGTCATCAGTAGGTTCACCATGAATTTTCACCAATTACCGTGTTAGGAATCACAAGTTAAAGGTAAGACCTCGTTAGTCCTTAGCTCACACAAGTTTCTCAACTTCTGAGAGTTGTCGTTCGTATGGAAGCGACACCTGATTAACGGAAAAACAGATATTTTTTTAAACAGATATCTGTGAACATTATTAATTTGTTGATGATTTATCTGACAGTACAAACAGTGTAAACCTGATAATGAAATTAAAAAATAAAAGCTATAGTCTGCCAACTGGTCAGCACAGTACACTCTTCATATTCAAAATTGATTTCTAATAAACATCTACCTTCATTCGGAAATTAACATTTCTTTCTTTGAAAGGATTTATCACTCTAGCTTCAGAAAATAGTTGATCTTGATCCCCATCATAAAACTTCTCCATGAGTTTTTCTTTGTCCCATCGGAAATGATTCAACAGGATTCTCGTAGTGGTAGCAGGTATCTAAAATTAATATGATCAGTCTCATTTCATCTTTGTGAGGTTATGGAGTTCATAACAAAACAGTACAGCACTTATCTTACCTCGACAACTGAATTCACATCTTTTATAGAATCTACCATGTGTTGTACTATTTCTTCGGTACTAAGAACTTCAAAAGGATAATCCTCTAACTCAGTCTGTATATCTCCATGTCTAGTAACTTCAACTTCCATAACAAAATCAACATCATCTCCACTTGATTCATTGCCTGAATCAACATCATCATATGTTTCTTCTTCCGAGTCCATTTTTATAACTAAAATTAATTTAGGCTCTATTGAATTTTATGAAGAAAAATAGAACAAACAAAATTATTCACAAAAGATATATAAATACATTTTCTTTTGCTATTCAATGATGCCATTTCTATGTCTTCTTCTCATTTTATTGGCATTGTCACAGTATAGCTAAAACCAGTAGTGACCTTTGATGTTTGTGTCTCACAGTTTTNGTTTCAAAATCTTCTCTTCTAAATGTAACACATCGTATTCATGATTGAACTCATGTCCTGCTAAAAGGTGGTTTGCAAATGTGGAATTGATGCTAATTCCATCCACCCGTCAATAAAATTCACCACTGACAGGGAGGTGAATAATTCAATAAATAACATTGACTTAACCATTACGAAAAAAAAAACAATAAACATGAATTTGCAATTTTTCACAAACCATCGTACACGGACATTATCATACATAATTCCTCCGCACACCCTTACCAGCATAAAGTTGCTGCATTCAATAGTATGCTTCACAGATTATTGAATATTCCACTGTCTGATAGGAATTTCCAGAAAGAGCTGAATTTGATCAAACAAATCGCAGTTAATAACTGTTATAAGGTAGATATTAAAAACGTCATTCTTTCCAAAAAACTACAAAAGCAAGCCATGGACCTGGTCTACCCATATTCAAGATGGGATAACGTCAGTTATAGGACATTGACATATTTGGGTGAATCAACCAGGAATATTGCCCGTTTTTTGATGAAAGAAGGCGTAAACGTAGTTTACAGTACGAATAATAATCTAAGTAAATTTATTAAAAACAATAAAAACAAAACTTCGGTGTCGGATAGATCAGGAGTATATAAGCTGACTTGTGGCTCTTGTCCAAAACTGTATATTGGCCAAAAAGGAAGAACATTTTCCCAAAGAATTAAAGAGCTTAGAAGTAGTTTTGTAAACTTCCAATTGGACATCGAACGATATTAATTCTGCGTTATGATAAGAACCTTATCAATTAGTGGATAATATTAAGAACGTAATTCTTCCGGATAACGCTAAATTAATATCGTTCGATGTCCAAAATTTATTTCCCAGTATTCCGCCAACTGAAACAATTGGACTAGTTGAGTGTCTCTTAGACAAAAACCACGTGGATCCACTGATAAAACAGGAAATTGTAGTGTTACTTACCATTTGTCTATCTCAAAATTATTTCCAGTTTGACGGAAAATTCTATTCATGCAGTGAAGGACTAATAATGGGGAACCCTTTGAGTTCCCTGCTGGCGGAAATTTTCATGGATAACATAGAGTATGAAATCCCAAATAATCAGTTAGCTAACAGTTTTTTGTACTGGTATAGATACGTAGATGATATCTTACTATGTTTTACTAGTACAGATAGGCAATTAGGCAAGTTCATTGAATATGCCAATTCCATCCACCCGTCAATAAAATTCACCACTGAGAGGGAGGTAAATAATAATATATTTAAGTATCAATGATTTCGTAAAAATTTTATTGTAAATATTCATCTGAAGTATAGAAGCAATATTTCATAAGGTACCGCTTTATGGCTTTTTTATTACAGTTGTTGAAACTGATGTTTTTTATAATTTCTGTAATGCGTTGATAATATTGAAATTTAAAGAGTTATGGGGTCTCTCTATGAACGAGTTAGTCTACATGGAGGATTTCTTATCCATGTAGCATATCTGGTGTTATATTCATGAATCTTGAGTCAATGATTGGTTTTGTATCCCTAGTAGAACATTATATAAATACAATGATGGCAAATGCATCATATCAAAAGTAATGAAAATAATTTTGGGAAAGAAAGTTTTTGGCTTTCTACTACTCCATCTTGATACAAAAAACAAGGATGAGGGAATCTTCCAAGGAAAGGAAGGAAGTAATCAA